AGTAGTTGCAACATTGAGCTCATCCATATATACTATAAAATTATACTATAAATTATAAATTATACTATACTATATATTATAAATTATACTATCTTATAAATTATACTATAAAACAGTAGTTATATGTTGTTGCTGTTTTTCTTATGTGCTGTCAAGTCAGACCCAACTCATAGCGTCCACTCCTTGGGTTTCTGAGGCAGTATCTCTATGGAAGCAGATTGCCCAACCTTCCTTCCAAGGAGTGGCTGGTGGGTTTGAACCATCAGCCTTCTGTTTAGCAGTCAAGTGCCTTAGGTACTATGCTACCAGAGCTCCTAGTAGGTATATGGCAATTCCAAAAACTGTGTTCACCACCCCTGAAACATCCCATTTTAACTGTAGCATAGGCTTAGAACTCTATTCAGAATTGGGCAAGAAGTTCCTGGCTTTCAAAGAGATCTTCTTTGGTTTTAAGTACTTTACCTGATGGAGCAAATCAGCAGCCCTTGCCAGCACCTTTTGTTTCCATTCCCCAGTGGCATCAGAGGATTTAATTTCTGAGACGAAAGGCATAGATATAATAGTGTTCCCTGAGGGAAGCAACTGCTGGAACTTGAACAGATTTCCCTCTTCCCACCTGGCAATATATGTCAGGAAATTATTCATAGCAATCCTGTGAATTTCCCCATATTCATTCCATGTCTTCATAGCTATGAGAAGAAAGCTACTAGATTGACCTCTAGCCATCCTCTCCTCTGAAGAATTCAGTTTTTCTTTCCATCAGTGAAATTCAGCATGGCAGATGCAAGAGTACATGTGCCCATAGATCTTGTATACACTCCTGCTTCCCAAAAGGAGGATCACATGGGAAACCCTACCTGAAGGACAATTCTAATCACACATTGGCTATTAAAGTTTGGGTCAGAGACTATTATTTAAGAAGTCTCATCTCTGATGATCATATTACCAACTCAAATTTGCTACCTCATTTAACATAACGACTTCTAAACGTTTTATTGTATTTCACAGAAGGGTGGGGACCAGGTAGTTTCCCTTCTAAGTATAAATTCACATTATCCCAACCCTCACCCACTTAAAAAGGGTCAGGAATACTTGAATGGAATTCCTGAATCAAAAATTCCAGCAAGTTATGGTTGGCATACATAACAAACATTCTATTGCATGCTGCAGTGTCCAAAAAATTGTTAGTTCTTTATTCAATTAACCAAAAAAATATAGAAAAACATAGATTATCCAGACATTTGCCAGGACTTCTTAATAAAGTGACAGTTGTTTTATAGTATAATTTCTTTGTCTAATATGACAAGTGGGAATTCTGGAGGTATAGTGCCTAAAGCATTGGACTGTTAACCAGAAGGCTGGTGGTTGAAACCCACCAGCCACTCCTCGGAAAGGAGACTGGGCAATCTACTTCTGTAGAGATACTACTTTGGAAACTGAGGGTGGGGTCCTATGAGTCAGATTCGACTTGACGGCAGTGAGTTTTAATATGATAAGTACTAGCCACGTTTGACTATTGAGCGCTCAAAATTTGCATAGTCTAAATTGAAACATGTTGTAAATGTAAAATAACACTGGAGTTCAAGGACTTGTTGTAAAAATAAAAATATAAAATATTTCATTAATAATTTTTACATTGAATAAAAATTGCAATAATATTTTGTACCTAATAGATTAAATAAAATATGTTATAAAGTTTATCTCTTTTAACTTGTTAAAACCTGGTTTATGTTTAAAATTAAGCAATGTAAAATTATGCATGTGCCTCTCATTTGTGGTTCAGATTATATTTCTTCTGGACAAGGATGAACTATATAGTTGCTAGTTTCCATTGTCATTGGCCTGGGATTGCAGAGAGGTGACATCAAGATTAAATGCAATTTCCTTCCAAGTCCAACTGGGCTTTTGTTTTGTTTTACAGAATGTCTCTGTTTTCCTCAAGCACAGACCAGATAGTTTTTGCTTTCCTTGCTCTGGTTTCTCTTTTCCCTGAGTGGTTTCAGTTTCACAAGCATGATTAATTAATTATTAAAACAAGGAATTGCTTATATCTTGAACCACTTCCAAGGAGCCCTGGTGGTACAGTCATTAAGAGTTCAGCTGCTAACCAAAAGGTCAACTGTTTGAACTCACCAGCCATTCCACAAGAGAAAGATGTGGCAGTATGCTTCCACAATGATTTTACAGCCTTGGAAACCCTCTGGACAGTTCTACTCTGTCCAATATGGACATTATGAGTTAGAATTGACTGGATGGCAGTGTGTTTTGTTTGGTGAGTTTGAGCCACTTTTCCTTCAGTTTATCACCCTGTTCTCTCCACTGCTTAGGTCACTGATCACCATTTGCCAATTCAACAGGAGATAAATCTGTGTCATCCAGATCCCAGCGCTAAGACTGATTCCTAGTTGTTTGCCATAGAGCTTTTGTTACTTCAAAACTAGCTGGATCAGCAGGCACTCAAGCAACACATTCTCATTAGGACTCTTTCTCAGGGATATATTTAGAGTATAATAAGTATGGCACATGCACTGGGTGCCAACTGAGGAGATGATTCCAAAGAAAAGTTTCTATTTGTCATTGCAATTTCCCTCTCCTGATGTGAAAGATCATCCAGCAGTTGAAAACTAATTTCCCTAGGCACTATTTTCCATATACATGCCTCTGTTCTCTCCTAGAAATTTTGGTCCTATTGTAAAGATCTGAAAGACAGATGAGCTTCTATGACCACCACTGAGATTTTTGGTCCAAATTGGTAGCTGGAAATATCAGATGGATATAAGCTTTGACCTAATATTACATTTACTAAGCTCTATAGGAGGATATGAGGCAGGAGATACATCAGCACAAAATCTTCATATCATCAGAAGGCCCAGCAGCTATTCAAGAACACTGCTTCTTTTGTCCTTGTGGCATGTAGCTGCCAAAGACAATAGTCAAGTTGCATATGATTGCCTTGACACAGAGAAGCCACAGACTTTTTTTCCAACCAAGCTCATCAAGTGTCTTCATGCCAACACACAGATAACCCAACGCAGGTGCAGTACATGAGGACCCACGCTCCTATTTAGCTTAATTGTCCTGTTTTCAAGGAAACAGTGCTGTAATAATCAGGTCATTCTCAGCAGTCTTGCAATAGCCCATGACTGATGTCAATCCTTTATTCATAGTTGTTTGGAAACATAGAGTTGAGATAAATATCATTGTACACTAAATATGTTAATAAATGGGTTGTCTCCAGTTTGAGATGAGCCTCTGGGTTCTGAACACAATGAGTTCTCCAGAGGAGATAATTAACTTTCAAGGCTATTTTATACTTATCAGGCGTATGTGTGAAAAGTATTATCACTAGTTTATCCTTTTTTTGGGGGGAGCTCTGGTAGCATAGTGGCTAAGGCACTTGACTGCTAACCAGAAGGCTGGCAGTTCAAATCCACCAGCCACTCCTCGGAA